GAAACCAATCCTTAAGAGTGTTTAAAACGCACTATGTAACTTTGGTGGAGGGCCAAATTACAGGTTAGATCCATAGAGATGACCCCAGTTTCAGCATTAAAACAGATATTTTAATAAATAAAACAAATAAATCAAACGCCATACTGTGGAACATTTCATTAGTTTCACTGAGGTGACGAACACTCCATCAGAAAAGTTACAGAGTACATCTTTAATTATTTACTTTCATGTTGCTGTTGCTATAGTGAATGTCCACTGCAATGAGAGTTTTTTAGTTTACTGCAGGAGGCTTAAGCAATGCATCATTGAAATACCTTTCTATAATATTTTGCAGACATGCTCCCATGACAAAGAATGGATCTTGGTAAGAATTAGGTCAATACAGAAATTATTGAAATACTTTTCTAGGGCCAGTGTTGATGTTGAATGTTTCATAATGAATTAGTCATTGCATTACTGTTGCCAAAATCAGTATTTTTCATATTTGTTATTTCTACTTCACTTTCCTTGCCTTATGTTACACACCTCTGTCCTGACATGAGACTTGAGGCCAGCATTTTCACATGTCACAGTTATTACAGTATAATTTCATGTGTCTCATCTCTTCCAAGCTGTTTGTAATCACAGCCAAATCCTACTTTTAAATATTTTTCAGGCTATGCTGTTTTCTAGGTGCTGGGCTGGGTCACTTTACTTTCTCCATTAGCATTGTTATCACAGTCGCACACCGCTCTGTCATTGGGTGTCTTTGTCTCTCTGTAGCGTGTGGTTAGAGTGTAGCATGATCCCAGCACAGTAGGCACTAGGCAGAGAGGCTCGTCTTTCTGAAGCCCTCCTCTCATTATGCCACATCACAGGCCTCTGCTCGGGCACTGACCTTCTACCACTGCGGCCATCTGCTGTTCCTCTTGCCAAACTGTCCCGTCATTTCAGCTCCAATGAATTTCAGGAGAACAAGGGGTTAGATGGCAGCTTTTTACTGGTCTATGATTCAAGTTTCCAAAGTTGGAAACGGTCTCATTATTAAAAAAAACTATATCTGAAATTGTGAATGGCACCCCTAAATTATACACAGTACTACATGTTTATCTAGATCTACTGTGAAATAAGTTAATAATTGAATAATTGTGATTAAACAAACAATAAAAAACAGTATTGCAGTATTTTTTTATGAGTTATGTTTCTGTAAGGGAAACCATCTTAATAACTAGGCTGTGGGCACAAATGGATGTAGTGGAAACCCTGTACTACAAGTCTGTTATGATATATGTTAAAATATATTTTGCAGATTCAGACTAAGTGGTAGTTTGGCCCCTTTGCAAAAAAATGAACCTTCTGCATATCACTAAATATTATTTCAGAGTCAGACCTTTCTCCGAATCCATATAAAATCACAAACCACTGAACAACATGCTCGCTTTAACACTTGTACAGTTAAGCTGCCGAGCGGAGAGATCGACTGCAGGATTTAGGAACAAGAGCCAATAAATGCTGGGAAGAAATGAGGCGTGAAGTTAGAAGGGAAAAAGAGAGGGAAAAGCCAAGAGAATAATCAAACTAGAGCCACTGGAAACATTGGAAAACATTTCAATTCACAGACAGAAATTGCAGATTCAAAGTGTACTTGACAAGGTTTAAGCCCTGTTACAATTGATCTTTGACTTATATACATAAATTGTAGTTCAATATTGTTGTAAAACATAATAGCTATGAAAATAGTTCTGTGATTAAACTTCATTTTGGCAAATTGGAGCTAAAGCCATAAGTTAAACAAACACTATTTCTAGTTAATGTTGCATTGTTTTAGCATAAGTTTTAAGGAATGAAAAGGCTCCAGTATCCAAGCCAGGCAAGCATTAGTTAATTGGGCAAGTGTAAGTAAGTGGTTTGTTGGCTGTGGAACACTTAAGTAGTGAAATTATACTTGATTGCCAAAAAAAATGCCATTATAACTAAATTTGTCCATTAAGTAAGGTATTAATACTTTTGAATGTGGGTGCATAAAGCATTTCATATGGAACTGCATGAAAGTTTTCACTGGCAAAGTATTCAAGGTAACTGCAGATAGGACCTCCTTTGACTTTTACCAGTTTTGTGTTTTATCTGACCATGGTAAGGTCAGTTAAATTGGTCTTTATTATTGAGCATAAAAATGACTCCTTGGGCCATAGATAAAAAGGTAGCAGTAAAACAGGGTAAATCTGATGGGAAAAGTGGGAGATGACAAAAGAGCAGATGATCCCATTAGCTCTAAAAGACAGGTGGCATGAGGCACACAAAAGACTCACAATACAACAGAAAACAGCAGTGAGGGCATTAGAAAGAGAGAGGGGATCAGAGAATACACTTGGGAACAGACATGGCATAATCCAGGAAGCAGGAAATGTTTTGGGTCATTAAAATGTCCTCAGTTTCAAAGCATTTGGCAGTAACAAGAGCTTATCACATGCACTTTATCTTACATCTCTTATTTTGCAGTAACTGACTCCATAAGCAGCTTCCAATCTTTCACAGCACACAATCATCATGGGGATGTTATGCTCTGATATGACTGCTGAATCTGACTAATATTAAAGTGCCTGTACAGCCTAAAGGGAGGGATCGTTGCATTTCTGGCTTCGGGAGGAAAGTTAAGTGATTCAAAAAGACATTGGTTTCGGACACAACAAATAAAGTTAGAGGAATTTAGACTGCACATTTCAAAATGGAAAAGAAAGCAAGTGGCCAGTAGTTGCCAGACAATAGCCACAATTATATGTTCTGAGTAGGGATGACAATATTAATCATTTTTTCAATTACCACAAATATTTAAGGCTATGCTAGGTTAACCATAGGGTTATCGTAGGGTCTACCACAGAAATGTGTGTCAAGATGCAACACGGAGCACAATGCTGTATTTAAATTGCTATATTTATTTTCAGCGTGTATGTCCAAGTGGAGCACAGTGTGCTACTCTCTATTAAAATGAAAGGTAGGAGTATTTTCCTATTTTTGGTACAAAAAACTTTACATTTGGGAGATTTTTACATGAAAATGTGTGTGTTTCCACCTCATGCACTGGACTTCTGTAGGCCATGGTTCAGTTATCTGGTTGTAATTTTATGGCTTAGGGATTTACTGTAATGACAGTTTTGTCTTTGTAACAAATCCACCACAATATACAATGGATTCACCTTCATTGCTCAGTCATTTGAGTGTGCACATTAAATACAATTATTTGTTTAGTTTTTTTTACGAGTATTCTAACTTCAATACCTAGTTACTAATCAATACTAAAACTAATATTTAAAGTAAATAATTTTCTGGGATCGTATCAATACTGAATTATATACATAAACACAACAAAGAAGGACCTTGAATAGTTTTTGAATTACATTGATCTATAACAAAGCTATAATATCAACTATATCATTTTTGTTGAAAATCACATTATGCTATATAAAACATAGCATGTAGCATTTTCCTTAGTATTGAAATTTATTTTGAAACATTAATATTGTAACAACACAAAGTGCAACAAACCCAGGCACCATAGAGAGTCCTTCTAGACCTCTGCTCACCCATATTCAGAAGCTGCAGCTCAGTCCAACATGCCACCTTCATCTGTTCACACCCTGCTTCTCATTTCCTCCCCACTCCAGGCGTCATCCTTGGCACTTTTTAAAACCATTCAGCTTGCTGCTTTATATTCATGCAGTTGCACACAATTTCCCCCGGGGATCTGCCCAGAATCAACCATTTATTCTGCTTTGGGTTGACTGGAGCAGTTGGAGGGTTAAGTGCCTTGCTCAAGGACATGTCCACAGTGAGGATGAAGAATGGCTCTTTCTGGCCAACTTTCTCTCATTTATCAGGCTCATTTCTCCATGTCCTTCTGCTTTTCAACAACATCAAGTCCAACATTTACTTGGCCACACTGTCCCTGCACGGCCCAGTCAGGATATTGTATTTAATTGACATCCATTAGCTATCAGCTATTCTTCCTGGAGACCTATATTGCATGTTTTTTGGGTTGATGGGGGAAACTGGAGACCCACCCAGAGACAGGGAGAACATGCAAACTCCACACAGAAAGGCCTGGGCGACCCGGGGATCGAAATCCAGAACCTTCTTGCTGTAAGGCATGGGTGCTAGTCATTCAGCCACCGTGCCACTAAATAAGTTCATAGGATAAGTTTAAAGGTGCACCATAAAGTAACTTCTGGCGGAGGATCCGCTGCTTACTTGTCTCCATGGAGATGTTATTGCTTTGCATGAAATGTTCAATAACATGGTATAAAAAATATCAATCGTGCATTTATTAAATTACTGATGTTTTTTACTGCTCAAAAACCTTGACAAGCATGCATTCTTACATTCTCACAATGTGTGAGGCTGCCGGACCTGTAACTTGTCCTGGTGGCACCACCGCAATTACATTTCCATGGACACAAGTCTAGCTTGTGTCCTCCATCCAAAAATTTACATTAGTGCACTTTTTTATGCAGTATTGTAACACGGACTGGGAAATACGACAGAATAAAATATAATTGTAATTATAAACCATTAAGGTTTTCTGTTTAAAGCTATGCAGCACTCTACTTTTCCTCTCCTGATCAGTCAATCTACGCCTTGCCCTGAGTGACTGACACGTGGACTAAGCCACTTCAATCATAGTGAGGTGTAAACTCCTTTCCTTTACCACCTCTATAACCAGCCTTGAAACATAAGAATGTTGATAAAAACCCAATCCACTTTTTTTCCACACGTGGTATTACTTCAACATCAGAAATATCTATTTTCAAAAACAACATTTCAAAGACTACAGCTACATGTAAATTCATGTTTGAACTGACAAAGCCAACAGCAATCAATCACAAAAGTGTTGATTTTAAAATGTGTATCTTCCCAATGGATATAACTAGAAGGCCAGGGTTTGAAATTTCAAGACCTGATCCAAGACAAAAACAATCTTTTTTGGAAACCTTAAATCAAACTCATTGTGTGAATTGGGTGCTCACCTCCTGTCCTGAGAGGTAGTATGCAGCCAGGAGACCTCCAATGAAACGGATGTTGACCTCAAACACCGACACCTCGGCATTCTGGGAAAACAAAAAAGCAGAATACGTTAAAAATAAGTAAAGTTACAAAAATCTGCACATTTTAATTTTGCTTGAAATAGTAATGCAAATGCTGTTTATATCCCTGAAAGGAAATCTGCACACCACGGCTGTTCATTTAGCATGGAGATTACATTGCCCTTGAGTGCTGAAAAAGCACACAGAAGAAAATTAAGCATAAACCCAGATTTGTTTTCTCTGTTTATGCATGTGCCATTTGAAAATGTGATTTGGTAGGCCAGTCCCAGGAGAGGCTACCCCATAAACAAGGCCTGGTTAAAAGAGCGCCTGCAGTGGAAACAGATAGGACACAGAGGAACCATGCTGCTCGTGCAATGACGCATAAGAGCACCACACAAGAGCTTTGGTATTAATTCATTTTTCCCATGACACATCAACACAGCAGGCCCACCGGTCTCTAGTGAAACAACATCATGTAATGGTGGAAAATTCAACATCTGTTCAAGGAGTGTTTTCAGGGAGTTTATTGGCAGAGTACTGAGAGGGTCACTAGTACCATGCTAATGCACAAACCATCTGTAATTAAAATCTGCAATTCAAAAAGGAAAAGACTGGCAATTTTTCAAGGGTGCACTCAAGGAAAGGAAAACATTTTATAAAATATATCACAGAAATATTAAGACTGTTCACAGTGCAATACCTACTAGCAAAAACACAGTCAGTCATCAGACCTCCTGAAGACATGTTCGGATTGTCGGATTGTATAAACAGAATAACTGTGTCCAATTAAGACTTGTTAACTATGGTGATTTAGCATAGCATAGATTGTTAATGTGATTTTTAGCAGATGGAATCACCTCTCCATAGATCTCTGCCTTCCTGGAAATAGTGAAAAGTCACATAGCACACCTTTAATTTAAAAAAAACAAAACAAAAAGAGGCAGAAAGGTTATCAGAGTTCATGGGCTGACAGTGAAAAACTTGTCGGCACTTTGCAGGATGTATAATATAATTAACTGCTTTTAATTCATCTACTGTGAAGTCTGCCTCAAGATTTTATTTCATTTTCAGAAACAATGTAATTTAGCAGCAGCAAGCTTTTAATCAATGTGTGTCTCTAACGTGGAGTATCTTTCCAAACCGCTGTTTCAATTAAAGTTGGGCCGATTTAAACTTCACTTTAAAGACTAGGACAGAAGTGTGATTGTGTGCTAGCATTACAGCGTATGAGCTGCTCACGAAACAGTGTGAGAGATAATAAAAGGATATTCAGTGCAATATTAAAAACCAACGCTGAGGTGAAATGAGAAAGAGCTCTCAGCACAAAGCGCATATTATTCTTCCTGTACATGAAGTGTGAGGAGCTTTTGGGCAACAGCCACACAAGGGATTATCTTCTATTGAATTGAAAATGTATAACTGTAATTTCTCTATTGAATTAAGAATCACTTTGGTGTAATTGTGAGATTTGTTGATTCACACTAAGGGATGGGACTATCGAACAGGTAGTCACTGTATCTGATACAGTTTCAGATAGAAGACAGTCACAGTCACATATATATGTGTATATGTGTGTACATATATACGCATATATACATACATATATATGTATACATACATATATATATATATATGTGTGTACATATACATACATATATATGTATACATACATATATATACATACATATATACATATATATATATATATATATATATATATATATATATACATACATATACACACACACACACATATATATATACACATATATACACACACATACACATATATATTATAAATTATATACAAATATTATATAAATATAAAAACATGGAACTCCTACTTTTATACTCACATGTACAAAGCTGCTTATGGATTCAGAATGCTAAACCTCAACCCTTGCATTTTCCCAAAGCAGACCTATATGTTAGCTCCTAAAGCTTGTTGAATAAATAAAATAAAGCTCTGCACATACATATAACATGATTTCCTTATTCTCAGTATGCAGCTTGGTCCAGCAGTGTGGCCATATGCACAGACCTGCTCCCATTTCACACCAGAGCAGGAAAAAATGTGATGATAGTCCTTCGCGTCTGATGAAAATGCTTGAAAAACATGTCATGCAGGAGGCTACACTAAAATATTAAATTGTGCAACAACTTGTCATTCAAGGTGACAAGAGGGAAGCAGGCGAAGCTGAGGGAGTCACTGTCACGTCTTTCACTTTAGGAAAAGGAGCTACAGGCGCTGACAACTGGGCACAGATGTGTAAACAGTATTTTAATGGGAGCTTAGGGTTTCTTCTATGTAAACAACAGACAGTATAAATGGGGGAATTTGTGGCTATTAAGCCTATTGAAAGTGATAGCTATTGTCTTTATATCAAACTACTCATTAGTCTACTGTGACTAAAATGAACTGTTCTCATGTCTGGAAAATGAAGTGGTTATGCATAGACATTCGTTTAGAAAAATAAATTAACTACACATTTGGGAGGGAGAGCATTTGATGTGATAACATGTGATTCTGCTGTCAGGTATTAAATGATTTACTCCAAAAAGCCAGCATAATGAAGTCTATGGCATTGTTATGAAGAACAAAATGAAACGTTTTGAAAAGTATACCATGACTTATCTCCCAGCGTCTGATTTGAATGATGAATGACTAATAGAAGTCCATTAATTTGGTGGATCTTTGAGGCCAGCCGCGTGCACTGGCTGTACTCTGACCCATCCATCATGTAAGAGCAGACTGCAGAACAGGGGCTAGTCCAGGACACAGCAGTCCAATAGTGACTCACCACCGGCTCGATCCTAGTACAACCGCTTTTTAATCATTCATTAGAGTTGCGGCGGGGCAGGTGCCTGTGTGTGGCAGGTGGGTGGTATGACACTGCGCTTGTGTGGTAAACAATAAAAGAATCAAAGCAGGTGGGAGGCAGAGAAAGTTGAACAGTAATGTAGGTGCTTTTGTCCTGTTTTTCTTTTTAGTTTATCAACTACTTCAGTACTTCAGATTTAGCAAGGGAATGATTTACTTTCATAAATTGTAATCTTAACATCCATCCAGGGCCCATGCACCAAACAGCTGTAATTAGTGTGGGGAAAAAGTACATACAATAGAAAATGCAATGTCCCATTTCACACCATACATGTGCCATGTGCACATCCTACCAGTGTTTTCTTGGGCAAGACATGCAACTTTTACACAAAATTGTCTTGAGTGTCTTGCTCAAAAACAGGTTCTGTAATTTGTGGTGCCCAAATGGTTCTTTTATCATTTACTACAATGACCTCTAGAACTTTTATTACTGTGAAGCACCTGCTTCACAGTAATGTAAATTCTCATAATGTAAAAGGGTTATTCAGACACAAGACACAAAAGACTGCCCTTTGCAATGGGCAATTATTACAAATTATTATAACAGAGGCTGACAGATTCAAGCTAATTATAAAAATCACTTTGAACCTCAAAGTACATTAGACAAAGCTGAAGCAGACATAGAGCAAAGGTCAAAATGGTTGAGTTAAAATGACATACAGAAACAGCAGTGTGTTCACCCAGGAAATGTCAGCCATAATTACCCTCCCATGTAAGTTTAAGTGACAAATCCCTTACTATGACTGATGATGTCTTTAATCTGCTCTAAGAAAATCCTGTCTCCTTTTCTCATCACAGAGGCCCAGAACAACATCCAGTCACAGAATTTGTTTAAAATCTCATGAAAGTGCAAATGAAACAATACACTTAAGAATTCAATGTCAGGACCAGGTAAATAATTCATCCTGCACAAATTTACTGAAGTTTATAATGGCCATCCTGACATAAAAAATTTAAAGCTAGCACATTTGAAAGAACTACAATGGCATCCCTCCTTATACTGTGCTTTTGTAAAATCTACACCTACACCATTCACCAAGCAGGACGTCAATACCACTGTGGCACAAGTTGCAGCAAAAGGATGGAGGTCAAAATAAAATGATGTTTGTTTGTTTGTTTGTTTTGTGAGTGGCACTAGACACTTTTAAACTTGTGTGAGTACAGAGTACTTAGTTCCTAATTTTAAATACAGCAAATTACCGCTATCACCATTACTCAGATTCAACATTGCAGCTAGGCCTGTAACAATAACAGATTTTGCTGGACGATTAATTGACCAAGAAATTACTGCGATAAAGAGTAATATTGACATTTGAAACAATTTTCAACTACGGTAATATATTTTTTTATTCCAACAATGGAATAAAAATGCAAATTCACCCTTTCAAAGATCAATAAACTTTACTGCAAGACAACCAAAAACATAAATGTTTTTTTTTTATTTTTTTATTTTGGGCATATACATAGTGTATTTATAACGAGTTGGACGTATACATAACGTATTAGTAACTTATACCAACTAATGCTTAGCGTGTTGCCAGAGTCCCCAACTTATGCCTTACGACAGTCTAACCTATGCATAGCGCAAGGCAGCGAATCGACGACGAACACGTCGTCGCCTATTAAAAGGCTGCCGCTCGACAATTTAAATATCATATGATATATCATCATATCAGTCTCTGTCTGTACATGGTGCTGAATGCAACACATCGACTGATAGGTAGGTAGGTATAGTGCAGCGGGATCTGTCTGCAGACCACAGGCTGCAGTTGTGAGCACGATCACGTCAGCTGTTTCCTGTCTACAGTAAAACCACTCACTATTGCACTTCTAGATCTCAGAGCTCTGCACTTCTAGTTTAGATACTGAGTTATTATTATTTGTGAAATGTGGTGCAATACTTCAGATACATGGTTTTTAAAACATAAAAGATTGGAGATAAAATCCACAGGAAGTAGAGTCACTATCGCTAATCTACAGCTTCACACGACAGCTGGACGTAAACAAATACAGGTGCGACTCTCACCTTTTTTACTTTCAAAAAATGACTCAAATGGATTAATAGCACGGTTTTGTAGACTGGATGTCATTATTTGTGGAGGACAAATTCTATGGATAATACAGGGTGAGTCATAAAGTCTTCTTATTGAGCTGGCACAATGAATTGTTCGGTTAGGCTGTATGGTGTTCTCCACAGATCGCCTACATGAAGCTCTTTTTTTAAAATGCAAATGACTGTTTCCCACAGCTCTCAGTGAGGACTAATTCCCACTGTCTGATGTCCTTTGTGGCCGAAGTATTCTCTGATCAAGTGTTTTGCATCGGCTCATATGATATATGGGAGCACAAAGTCTGACGGTTTCCTCCCCATTTTTGTACCGATTCCCCTAAATGCTGCCAATATGCCATTATACGGTAGCTTCAAGTTAGAAACACGTTCAGTAAGTTCTGCGGTCGTTTGGAACATGTCAAATATGCCTGCATAAGTCAATATGCATTGGAGATAAGTTCGATATAAGTTACACATAGGTTCAAAGCACGACAAGTTATGGGTACGCTAGACATTTTCTCAACATATTTGGACTTATGAGAAACTTACAATTAGAGCCCGACCGATATATCGGCTGGCCGATATTATCGGCCAATATGAGCACCCGGAGACATATCGGCTATCGGCCGATATGCTTGCTGATATGGGCCGATATTTCACGTGGGCATGTTATACCTCGTTATAAAGCTTAGACTCTCTACATTATGTTCATTTAATCCAATTTACAGACAGATAAATGTCCAAATATGTGGCTCCGCATCAGTATTTATCTGCGGTGTAATTTGTCTGTGTCCGTACTGTCCCTGAACACACCACCAGAGTCACTTCACTCACGTGTGTTTGTTTACACCCGCAGCGGTGTGCAACACTGAGATTATATTCTTTTTATGGACAATCGATTTGAGTCTGGATTAAAAGGACTTTTATTAGTGCAGACTTTTGACGTGGGAGGAGCCTGTGTGAGCGGTGAGTGTTGGAAATACATCGACTTTGAAGCTAGTTTAGGTTTTGTTAGCGATTAGCTGCTGTAGCTCTCACACATAAACAGGTTGTTTTCTATTGGTCTATTGTAAAGTGACTATATTGGCCGTATATTTGTTACTGGACCTGCATTGATATGTAAATGAGCTGTGAATAGACGTGTGAATGATCCACATTTATGCATATAATTAATTACCGCGGTGCGCAGCATTTACGGCTAAAGGCTAATAGCGGTAGTTTACTAGCTAGGAGTTATGGGTCGATCGCGATCGAAGCGGCTCTTAAAGCGAACAACGGGAGCCTGCTTCTTATTGGGAGCCGTGTTTTCTCTTTTTCCCACTTTTTTCTCTTCATGCCGCATGTAGACACGTAGTTTGACAGCAGCAGGGGCTGAAAACGAAACTTTCAGAAATCTGCGTGTGCATAGGATAAAAAAAATAGTGCATATTAGGCTGCAGTTCAGCATAAAATGAATAAACCAGAACTAATCTTGGGCTCGAATGAAGGAGAGAGATAGAAACCGAGTCCCGACACTCAGTCCTGGTTCAGCTCTGGTTTAGTCCTGTTTTACACATGGCTTAAATCTGTTTTAGTCCTTTTTCAGTCCTGGTTCAGTTCTGGTTTAGTCCTGCTTGCAACAAAACAATCTCAAGAGTCGCTTGGGAGCCGAAAGAGCCAGCTGCTTTAGTGAGCCGAGCCAAAAGAGCCGGTTCTCCAAAAAAAAAAAAAAAAAAAAAAAAAAAAAAAACTGGAATACCCATCACTAATAGCTAGAATGTGATGCAAAAATGCCATTAGGCCAATCTACTGTATGATGTAAAGAGTCAAAATAACAATAAATGTTGCCTAAATAAACCCAATTTAGAATCCACTAGAGCCAAACCTAAGTTTTTTAATCAATTCAAGATTTACAGTCAATTTTTACATCACTAAATATATCGGCGTTTATATCGGCTATCGGCAGCTCCAACTCCCATTTTATCGGTTTCATATCAGCCACAACAAAATCCATATCGGTCGGGCTCTACTTACAATTAACGTGTGTCAACGATCGCATAACTTACCTACAACTTAAGGCCCGTGTATGCAGGATGTATAAACATACACAGCGTGCTCATAACTTATACAATACTTAGAACTTATTCGACGTACGCCAGCGTATTTGCCAAATTTTTCATACGTCGGCATACGCAGGCTAAATCGTCAAGGTGTGCCAGTGGCATAACATAAGAATAGCCTGTGCTATCTACTCAGTGGTGGTACAAGACCATGCAATTGGCAAGCATAGACTGTATGTATATATAAATGGATATAGCTAAGGTGCTAGCCACCGCGTTCCACATAGGAAGTTACCGCGGACTCACCTGAGGTACGAGTTTCCACTGCTGCTACTGCTGACCGCTCACATTCTCATCTCACAGATGCCTACAGGTGGATGTTTCCCGGATTATGGAATACGTTTATTGTCACATTGTCATGTGTCTGTTCAGAGCAGTGCTCATGTGCATTATTTGTCTCTTGAGCCACGGTACAAAGCTCTACTGACTGCTGCTGAAAAGAGGGTAGCACATTCAAGACGTGCGGTTCTGATGGTAGCCTACCTACTGGCGACTAACGTTATAAACTAATTAAAGTGGCACAATGGTAATACTTTGGTCACGAAATTAAATTTAGCCGATGAAAGAAAGGGTACGAGAATGTGAGGAAATCCAACATTGCAGCATTGGGACTGCAGACAAGGTAAGAAAACACACTTTAAAGACATTGCTGTGAAAGGCCTTATGTGAATGAGCAGCTTTTGTACAGATTCAGATCAAACCAAACTATAGAGCAGTGCTAAGCCAATACAGGAAGCAGGTGATGGGATCTGCTCTGCTGGAGGAGGGCAACCGGATGGTGCACAAATATCCTGCACAGCACACAATCATGTTATGAATATTAAGCATTTATCATGCTCATATATTTCCAAATAGTCTTGAGCATGTTACACGTTGTTTTTCAATGGACTAGTCTGATTTATTTATTTTTTTTAACAATTCTGGCAATTCACTGAACGCACCACACCATGCCCTCAATCTGCTCCACTCCACCTGATATTCAGGCACGGCCCACCTCACGTCTAGAGCATCACACCCACACTTGCACTAGCGCTAATATCAGGGGCAAGAGAGAGTCGTCAGTCTCCTTGGTAGCGAGACAGAGAGAAAGATGAGCATGCAACAAGCATGCAAATAGAAATTAATGCAACCGGAAAAGTTATCGAGCTTGTTAAAAGTTATCGTGCAATTAATTGATTTGTTGATTATTGTTACAGGCCTAGTTGCAGCACTATTGTTGTCCACAGAAGGCAGTTTTATCCAGCTGTGGCACTGACATCCCTGTGTTTGGACTGATCTCACACAGTCTATTTCTTGTGTATTCTTCAAATGAAACACAGTTTTTTAACCTTCATCTTGCTCAAAGTCAAATCAAATGCAGCACTCTAACTAAACCTATAATTTTGAACCGTTCTGTTTTCACAGTGATCCAGAGGTTAATTAGTCCCATCAGTGTCATGTGTTTCGATGTTTTCAGTGTGCACTGCGGCTGCCCTGTGATTGGCTCTGTGTGGGACTAACAAGCCTGGCATCAAAAGCACAGTCGCAATCATAAAAACAAGGGGAATTATTTAGAACTCTGATTTTATGAAGTTGAGGGAAAATAAACTGTGATTAATAAATTTTTGTGAATGAGTGTGATTCAATAACAATTTGTGTGAGAGTTATGCATGACAGAGAATGAGAAAATGTTACACGGAGAATAAAAGTTAAAAACTGTATAGATTAATGGCATCTCTGGCAAAAGAAGTCATAGCTTGTTTCATCTTGTTGGAATAAGGACAACTAATAAAAAATGTTGGTTAAAGTTCAAAGTAGGAGAAAGACTAATGGAAGACTATATATAACATGCACTTCTGTTATAATCTTACTTGTAACAATCATTTCATTGTGAAAAATAACAATATAAATCGTTTTTAATGTCGTAAAGGAAAAGCATAACTCTGTTTAACTTAAATATGTCTTTTGGAAAGCTACAACACATTTAGATCAATATTGTTGTATCCTTGAGGTAGAGTTGTTGTTTGGTTTGTACAAAAGCTTGTGTTTTTGTGAGTGTGTGAAACATACTATACTGAAGTCCAGATTCTGCTCTATCCACTCCTGTCCGTCCTTGAACTCTTCTTGGAGCCCCATGATGAACAGAGTGTCCAAGGCATCTACTATGGAGGCTCCTAACTGGGAATTACCTGCAAAACATAGGGATAGAAAACATAAACATTAGGCTGAGATTGCTACATCTGTCCACAGGAAATCTCTCTGTATAATCATGAAGGAAAGATCAATTAAACCGGCACTACTATTTCCATGGTTATTGTCTGGTAAATCTTCCCTCATTTCGTATCAGCTCCACAGCGCGGCACCCTGCTGTTGTTATCTGTGAGTCCATTCAAAAAGAACAGCGCGTGGCTCGATGCAGCAGCCGCAGTCTTATTATCATTATAGACAGGAACCCCTAAATCACTCTAAAAATACACTGCAGGCAGAGAGGCCGGCAGGGGAGATAGTGAGATGTCCTGGCCCCCTGCCTGATCCTGACAGATTGGTCCGAGCGTTGGAGGAGTACAGCGGCCCCTCTCCTTCTGTCATTTTCAGCACCTAAAGGCTAGCTCTGGGTCGTCATGGCAAAATGTCACAACTGAGGAGGCGAAACGGGTCTGCTGCTACTAAAAATACTCCACCGACTTTTAATCTCTTCAGAATAAGATGCTTCCTCTGTTTATAATACAGTACACAGTAATTTGATTATCTGGGATTTAACTTAATACACTATATTTTATTTGTTATAATTAATTGTTCTATGTTGCAACAAATATCCGAAGCACATTCCTATCTTGTGAATTTTTGTTCACCAAAAATGGCATTAAAGTTTATCTGATTCAAAATAATTGCAGCACTTGTTATTTTAGAAGTATCAAGTCAAAAAAGAATAACTGTGGGAGAACAAATTAAATATTTAGTTTGTATTCTCAGAAAATAAATGGGCGACTTATTTTTCTAAAATGAGTTTGAGAACACAGTGTACCATTTTAAAGTTCAGCAGCATCAGTAATTCAGAATTTGAAATATGTGAACTGATAAAAAAAAGTCAAGAGCGTCATGCATTCAGAATTAGCAGGTTTGGTAAATAATATTTTGTACTTTACAGATGGAATTATACAACCCAAACTATTGCAGCTTTGGTGATTTGGTGACAGAAGCAATTCAAATTGTGATTTCAATTCAGTAGTAGTAGTAGCTGTGGCCTAGACAATTAAGCTTGCTTTGACAAAAATTTAGTAGTGTTCAGACTTCTTCCACTGCAGTCTTTAAGGCGACTTATTCAATAAAAACTATGTACAATCTCCCTAAATTTCCATGGCGGAGGACAGAGAAAAAAAATAGAATGAACTGTTATTACATTTGTTGTGGTGACTGTCGTCCTTCCAAGTTTTGCCAATAATGTCAGGATCAGTAAAAAGTTAACTGTATTGATGATGCAAGTCTGAGATGGAAACTAAATTACTTCACAATGCCACAGTAAAGCAAGATAATTTGGATCTCTCGTCATTCTTATTTCTTGGTATTGGCACAATGAAGTAGTGAGCCAAACAGATGCTGAAACTGTACATTTTGGCAAAGACCATTAAGTATCAAATGTGCCACAAAACTGCACTAGGGCTGCAAGATTAATCACAAACAAATCAAAATTTCAATCTGAATGGATGCAATTAGCAAATAATTTTCATCAGAAAGTACACGGTAATCTCTTATTCTGCATAATAACTGCTAACACTGTATCTTAGATCTATAGAAACATGTTCTAAAATGTGATTCTTGTATTAGTTTGTCAGTTTTAGTCTTTTGTCAATTCTTTAAGACACGTTTAAAATGTGAACTTTGAAAAGAATCCTACAGTTAAAACATAAAGCGCAATGCTTTTGAGAAAAAAATTAAATTCTCCCCAGTCTTACAAAACCTTTTACTTTTTTTGCATTTGGAGATTGGATAATATATGTTTGCTTTCTACATTTGCTTGTAAATAAGTCTAAAACCACTCATTTTGTGTATAAACTTGGGCTCTCCACACACTTCCGTCAAGTTCTCTCCTCCTTGCATCACCGCCTCCTCCCTCCCGCACCTAACCATCTGTTTTCCCTCATTTATCACTGTCTCTCTGTGTTTTTCCTCATCTTTTCTTGATCACTCCATTTGTTGCTGATGTGCCTATCCCCCTTCCCTCCCCCCATTTGGGGGGAAGAAAAAAAAAAGCTCAGAGCAATGCCAAATCAAGCCCACTTTTGCTTGTCCTCTGTCATATCTGTGGTTTACTGTGTTTGGCTTTCTGTCTGTGTCCGTCATAACTCTTTTCATTTGGGCCCCGCAAACCTCTTTAAATCAAGCCAAGTGCCTCAAATGGAGCTGAATTGGCACTTTCAGTCTCTAGCTTCACAGGAGCCAGCCACTGCTTATCTGAAACACACCGGGCATGACGGGTTTGTTTTTACATGGAAAAATTGCAGGGGTCCAATATAGTAAGACAGGCCACCCGTATCTTTTTATTTCCATTAATTTGAAGATAAATCAGATGAAGAATGGACATTTTGGCTTGACCACAAATTAATTAAGGGTTGTCCCAGCTGGCATCTTGTTTGAATTGCTAATTTCATTTGTCTTCTTTGGCTTATCACCACTGGGAATCACAGGTTGTAGGGACCTATCCTAGCAACCACAATTAATTATAAAAGTAAATTAGGTAAAATATGGATAATGGCCTGTCTGTTATATTAGTCCTGTCTTGTGTTTGAAAAGATAGTCTTTGATCTTTATCCTCTAGGTAAGAGATTTTTTGAATCAGCCACATTTTCGTACAATATGGGTTAAATTACAAAACACTTTAAAGCTACAGTATGTATCTTTTTAGCAAAAAAGAGTAATTCAAGTCAATATCCCTGTACCGAAATGGTAAATGCTAGTGATCCGAATCTATCAATTTCTTTTTGATCTCTAGACAAGGACAGAAATACACAAGTTTATATTTTTAGGATGCCACCAAAAACACAGCCTTAGACTCACCTTCTTCTCGCTACCTCAACTGAACTCTGACTTCGTGTTCATTTATCACAATCTCCCAGATGCCTCTCCTGTGCACCTCCATTATCAGGGTCTCTCTAACACTCATGGACCCTCTCTCCATCTGCTTGCCAGTTTCATTAGACGTCAGGTTTTCAGAGTTTGTCACGTGGAATTCACATGAGGAAGGTGAATGTGATGTCATTATTTAGAGTTGTTTCCTTTTCCATTTCATTGTAGAGCAATGGAAAATATGTTTATTCCACATCAGATAAAGCAAAGGAAAGACGGGGTTTACTTGAAGTAAAGTGAAGTAATTTTGAATATGCGAAACTTTAATATCAAGTGTATTATCTAGTGTAAAATGTGGCAACAAGAGGTGACTAAAAGTGAAAAAATAACTAAATAAACTTCCAAATAAGGGTGAAATTTGTGTGGGTGGTTTAAGAGTGCTTTTATATGTGTCTGATACTCAACTAATCCAATCAACTGAATCGACATAATGACGACTGAAAGTCACAAAATTTGGTCAATATCGACCAGCCCTAGAGTTTAATACATACAGTAATTTTGTCATCTTTTTTGCAGCAGAATATTACATTGTGTACTCTGCTTTGTGCTGGAGAGTCGTGGCTGTGTTTTGTTTTATGCTGGTACATTGTTTTCCCCATAGACTGCACTGAGAAGCCTGACTAATAAGATACTCCGCAAAAACAGATTCAGGCTGGGCTCTGGTGTTCTATTTTCTAGGACTCCCGCTCCTCTCCCTCCCCCTCTCTTTCTGTCTCTCCCTCTTCCCCTATCCTTTCCCTCTATCCCCCATCTCTCTCTATGTCTTACTCTCCTTCTTATGCTCTCCCTCTCTCAGTGCATTGTGCTGTTTAGCGTCTACTGTTCTCTATTCATCTGATTTCACCAGCAGTAAGCTCAAGCTGCAGTCCCAGTACAATTCGTTATACTTATTTCTTATGAGAAAAACTAGAGCCAGTCAAACCAATTATTCATTTGTCTGTCAGATTTTTGGAAATTTGAGACATTCAGAAAGTGTTGTCAGTGAGGCAGTTTGTTATGTGCACAGAATAGTGAAATACTGTGTAATTACAGCAAATGAGGCAATCAAATGAGTTGTCATCCCAACATTTAAAGTATATACTGCATAAAGGAAAAAAGAGGAGCAAATAATTGGAGCATTCAGCATGTCTTGCTTTTCAGTCAACTGAGAGTGGTTTAAAGGAAATGTTTTACTGGTTACATATTCATGGGATTTAGGCAAATGTTAACTTGCTGCTTTGAAGGACTTTGTGAGGACTTCTTTCCATGCATATGATATATTTAGGTCCACAACCCATGGTAAAATGCTGCTATACAAAGTCACTTATATGAAATCTTTATCTGGTACTTAATACATAAAGTGTTAAAAGGCCAAGATATTAAGACTTAAATATTATGTATTAGCATTCTAGAAGGCGCTAAACTGTTCATCTTTTGAGCAATGCAAATGAAGCTCAATTATGATTGTGCCTGGAAGCAGCCAGAGGTAAATGAGGAAAATGGTGCTTTGTAAATCAATTAAGTGAATTACACAGAAACAAGGAACAAACTTCTGAGTTATAATGTTGTATCCTCACACAGCCTCTTCTAGACACTGTGATGTCTGTTATCCTCAGTCAGGCACTGTACTTGTTTTAGCAAATCTCTCCATAGCTGCCTCCCTTTAACACCTCTGTTGTCAGCCATGACATTTTCACAACCCTTATTCTTCAAGAAAGCTTTCACAAGTTAACTTTTCTCCTCTTCATCACAGCATTTGAGGTACTCATCTTAACAAAGGTAAAAAAAAAAAATCTAAGAAAAAATGTATGTGACTTTTGAGTAAATTCAACAAAATCAGATTTCAAATCTTATAAATCAAATATAAATATAAAGGAGAAAAAGATTATTGCCTTGAAAAAACCAAAATGTCACATACAGGACCCAGCATCTTTTAACCCTATAAGTGCAAAGCTTAGGATGTGGCTTTATTGTGAAAAGTGTTGTGAAATTGACACCATTTTGTCTTTTAATTGGATTTTTCACTGTGACTAGTGTTACTGCTGTCTTTCAAGTCCCCTTCTCAACTCTCCATATTCAGAACTAC